TTGTAATAAATTGTGGTGTGGTGCATATGATGCGATGCATTGTAATGTTATGCAATTGGATACATTGTGGTGTGATGAGATTCAATGCGATATGATACATTGTGATGCGACGCAATGTATTGTGGTGTGATGCGAAGACATAGGATATGATATGGTACGAATTCTCAATTTATCCTGGATAGCACATTCAGGACGAGTTTTGCATATGGTCCAGAATTGATGGAGAGAAAAGCTTACCTTATGTGCCATACTCATCATTATTAGCATAAACAATTGTTTTTGATAACATGTACATAAAAAATTCTATTATTATTACAGTCCTAGATCCTTGTGCCAACTTCCCATGTGAAAACGGTGGTACATGCCAGTCTGTACAGGCATCCTGTTCCTTGTTCACATGTACATGTCCTGGGTGTTACACTGGATCTACATGCTCCCAACGTAAGTCAAGTTTATGCATTGTTTGATATGTAAATCAAACCACACATAATTATCCGAATTATCCTTTTGTTGGATCAGATTAGATTATAAATTAGTATGTCAAAACATTACCATTTTTAAATGAGTGAATGTTACAAGCAAAAATAATTTTTTTAAATGTACTAGAATAACTTATATTAAAGTGGATTATATTGAATATGTGTTGTTTTGAATGGAATAAAACTTTTGTTTTAATTTCAGTGTTGGATCCCTGTACTCCGGCTCCATGCTTTAATGGTGGTACTTGCCAACAACTATCATGTACAACCTACCAGTGTTCATGTCCTGAGTGTTACCGTGGTGAAAACTGTCTGGAGTGTAAGTTAACACATTTAGAACTATACCGATAGTGTCACTCGTCACATAAATGTCATCATCACAGATCTATAATTATGCGTTTAATAATGTCACATATGACAGTTTTGGTGATGCAAACTGTTGACGATAAAATCGCTAATAAATAATATTTATTTTTGTTCTTATTTGTATAGTTATTAATCCATGCGAAAATACTCCCTGTCAGAATGGTGGATTCTGTATTCCAACAACCGGATCGTGTACACAGTTCACTTGTAGCTGTCCATCATGTTTCACAGGTGCACTCTGTGATCAACGTACGTCCAATGTTTATTACATTGTTAATCTTGTATTAATATCGCAATCTGTCATAAGTCTTACCAAGAATGTGATACCATAGTATATTACATTGTAAACTAAAATTTATTTTGTTTAATTTATCTTTATACAGCTGTTGATATATGCTCACCCAATCCATGCTTGAATGGCGGACAGTGTACACCCAGAGATGGATCTTGTTTTGACTACACCTGTACATGCCAAGGATGTTACACTGGATTCAACTGTGGACAGTGTAAGTAACACTACACTACAGATTCTACAACAAAGTTTATTAACATTGTTACAGTTAAAAAAATGTTTTTGTTGCTATGGCAATCAATTATAATCTGAGACTTATACAAATTTTGTTTTGTTTGTTTCCAGTTATTGACCCATGCCAGCCAAATCAGTGTTATAATGGAGGTACCTGTATCCCCGTCGTTGGTTTCTGTAATCAGTTTACTTGTAGCTGTCCAGAGTGTTTCACCGGAGACAACTGTCTACAAGGTATTTACTTTTTCTTCTATCTCAAATCATTTTCTATAGTAGCTTGAAGTGAATTTACAATGTGTTGTGCCACACATCCAGCAACGCAGAAGAATGCACACATCCACAAGATCTGAAATTACTCAATTTATAGGATTTCTAGAAGTGATTTAAATTTTTTTTGTGAGCTCCTTATTTGCATATACACTTGTAGAAGGTTGAAGTAATAGACAAGACCTCGGCCTCTACCCTTGCACACAACCTTGATGCCCACTTACAATATAAACATTGTAGATGAGAAACAACATACCGGTGAATACAGTTTAAAGTAACAGCACAATTCTTTAGTTGAACTCAGTTCTGATATCATATTTAAATGGATGGCAAACTAAGACTAACTTTGGTGTTGAATGTTTTTTTTCTGTACAGCTATCAACGCCTGTGCTAATAATCCATGTCAGAATAACGGTATATGTACACCTGTGGTTGGCAGTTGTCAACTAGTCACATGTACATGCAGTGGATGTTATACTGGACAATACTGCACACAATGTAAGTACAATAACATAGACAACTGTTGATAGTCTAGGAGTGGTTTGAGTAGACAAGAAATTGTCTGCCCAATTTACTGGTGGGTGTATGATGTGTATAACACAGAATTCATGCATAATAGTGACTTCAAACTGTTCTAGCTAATTTCGGACAGGTTAAAAAAAAAGATTTCCCAAAGGCATAAATTATATTACAATAAAATATTATAAAATGGCTGGACATGTTTGAATGTGTTACGTACATATTATTTACATCATATTTATGTCTCATATGAATATTTTTCTTTGATTCAATCGGACACAGTAATAATGTAACACATATGACGGAAATAAATTCCTGTCACTGAAAGCAAATGTACAGGTACAAACTTCATACAAGTTTTGCTGGCATTTTGGACTGTGGATTTTTTCTAAAATCAATCAGTTGTATAGATAGAAACCAACAACACTCCACATTTCTGGTAATGTAGTATTTACAACACAAGTGCTGCAGATGCTCTACTACTACTTCACATGTTAGTTTTGATACTGTCATGCTTATCTCTCGTCACTATGTAACTGTTACACTATGTAACTGTTTATAATCAGTCGGCCAATTTGTACCTCATTTGTAATCGACTACCGTACATCACACTGATTTCTATTCTCTGTTCACAGTGCTGGATCCATGTGCCGGCTTTCCATGTGCCAATGGTGGTACATGTACACCTGTACCAGGTTCATGTACAGACTTTACATGCAGCTGTCCAGGCTGCTATACCGGTCGAACATGTCTTACATGTAAGTTCAATGAAATCATCAAATGTTCATCTGTAGGACTAACAATGTTGGATACGTTGCATCTGAAAAATCAAAGTTATAATCGCCAAATATTTTGATTTTTTTTATATGGCTATTTACTATATATTGTTCATTGCAGTGGCCGATCCTTGCCAGAACAATCCATGTGGTAATGGAGGAACCTGCATTCAGAATACATGCAGTTCATACAGCTGTATGTGTGACGCTTGCTACTATGGGGATAACTGTGAAATTCGTAAGTTGGCTTGCATTTTCATAGCACTCAACATTTGATTGAAAAGCACCCTGCGTTTAAATTTCTCATGTGTATTTAATTATTTATGAATAATTAAATATTATAGATTAATAATTATTAATAATTATTTATGAATTGTCTTAAGCTTTTCATCACCAGACTTTCTCACTCAAATTATTCGGCACTTTTTCCTATATTCTTCAATATTTCTGGAAATGAACCTTAATTTTGGAGATAACAGACAAAATTAGAGTAAATTTTCAGTTTTCACTCAAAAAAATTGGCTATTTTTGTCACAATCTTCTGAAGGAAAGTGCAGACTATTAACGGGACTATTTCGTGAATTTGTGATGGAAAGAGGGAACTGGTGGTGAAAAGGTTAATTCATAAATTGTATTTAAAAAATCACTATTGTGCCCGCTGTTGCAATGTATTGTCATTGATAAATCTTCTTTTGTTGTCATTCACAGCTCGTAATCCATGCCAACCGAATCCATGTGAAAATGGCGGTTTCTGTCAGAATGCTCCGGGTTCATGTATCCAGTATACCTGCACATGTCCAACGTGCTGGACAGGAAACCAATGTGAAGTTGGTGAGTAGAATGACGATACAGATATCTAATATGTGTTTTACTCCCACCTCTTCATTTAGCGAGTTCCTGCAGTGTTCAGTATATTTTATTACTCGATTATGACAAAAGCATATTGACCGAATTCATAACCTTGTACAAAATCTGTATGTATTTCAGCCATCAACGCCTGCGACAGTTCGCCGTGTAACAATGGTGGTACGTGTCAACTAGTTCAGGGATCGTGTACGTTCTACAACTGTCAGTGTGCTGGCTGTTACACCGGGCAGACCTGTAATACATGTAAGTATCGGACAGCGCCATCTAGAGACAAAGTTCTCTCATGCTTTTGTTTGTCTTATCATTTTGACTATTCATAACATCCGTTGCATATACATAAGTTTTTATATTTTTTTTTCTTCTCATGGAAATTAAAACATTGGACATGCAAAATCATTCTGGTTTTTGTACGTGTGTGTTAAAACGTTTATAGGTGGTGTTTCTTCAAAAATTACTATATAGATTAAAACATTTTGAATCCAGTTGTTTGAACTGTATTATTGTGTTCTATAACTTTATTATAGCTAAAGACAGTTTACCTGTCGGATACAGCTCAGTACTGTAAATTCATTTATTTTCGCTGACATTTAAGTTCACAAACTTGGCAGGAAAACAATGAGTTCTCTTTTCACATTTTCACAAGTTCACATTTATCACATTTAATTTTATAGCGAATTTTACTTATCAGCTAAACTAGCAAAATTAAAACCCAGTGAATAATTAATGTGTTTACAGTATTCATGCAATGAAAAGATGGCATTTTTCATCATGCATGTGCACCGATTGTTTTGATACTCAATATTAATCAATGCATTTGCATATAGTGTTATATTTCATTGAACGAATACTTTAAACAGTGAGCTGAAAATGCAAATGCAAAAACCTCATTTTTTGATAAATCATAGTCCCCATTGGTTATTAATGTGCCGTATCAAACAACAATATGTTTTCATCCACCTTTGATTTTATTTACATTCACTGTGAATTCACATTCTTGAATTGAAGTTTTTTGTTTTTTTGTTTTTTTTTCAGTGAATGATCCCTGTGCTAATAATCCTTGTTCCAATGGTGGTACATGCTTACAAGAAGGTTGCTTCACTTACTCCTGCTCATGTCCAGTATGTTATACGGGTTCTAACTGCTTGCAGTGTAAGTCAATATTAAAAATTATGAACCCTAGTACAATCATGTGATCTAGGATTGCTGCACCAAATTGTGTTGCCAATCTCACGATAAAGTTTGTAGGTTTTAATAGTTTATTTTGTATGTCTTGATCACCAATGGGAACCATTCTATTTACAAAATGAGAGTGCTTCTCTCATACTGAGGACCCAGCAATCATTGCATGGGATATCGTTATATACAGTACAATCTTTGTTAGTGGCCCACCTCTATATAAAGACCACCTGCCTATAGTGACCATTTTTCACCGTTCCAAGGCATACGGTATGAGCAACCTGTGTATAATGACCACTTTTAGACAGTCCCAAGACATTGTATGAGCAACCTGTGTACAAAGACCACCTGTCTTACGTGACCACTATTTCAGCAATATGCCTTTGTTTAGAGATGCAAAATAATAATTAGCATTGTCTTTATAAAACAATTTTTAATTTAAACTTATTTGATTTTCTGTTTCTAAAATGTGCTTCATGTATTATTAAAGTCAAACGATGTTCATGACTTGACGATTTAATTTGGGACAAGGGGTGGGCACTTAGTCGAACGTGACCTCTAAAACAGAAATCCTTTCTAACGAGGGGGCTGGCTGCTTAGCTGGGCATGGGCATTAAGTCAAACGAGTACTATATGATTTACTATAATGTGTGGAAATCTTTGTTTACCAGTTTGTTTGATCAGTTTGTACTATCCTAATAACACATAATTATTGGTTCATTTGATGCAGTAATCAATCCCTGCAACTCGTTCCCATGTGGAAACAATGGATTCTGCATACCAACCGATGGATCCTGTGTACTCTATACCTGTCAATGTAGTGGATGCTTTACTGGTCTTGACTGTACAACTCGTAAGTCAAATTTCAGATTGGATACTGTCAATGGTCTCAAATATTCATCAGATATATACACTTACAATGTTCATTACATTAGAATTTGTAAAATAAAATTGGTGACACTTACTACAATAAACATTGATCATTCTTAAGAACTGGTTTCAATTTGTTTACAGCGATCAATGCATGTGACAGTGCTCCATGTCAAAACAATGGTCTTTGTGCACCAGTTGATGGCAACTGTTATTCCTATACCTGTACCTGTACTGGTTGCTTCCAAGGATTCAACTGCGATCAAGGTAGAATTTCTCTTCTTTTTTTTCTTCAAGTACCAAAATTTCTGAATCACTTTTATAAGGAATTATAACTGTCAAATTGTATCGCTTTTTCTTGTTTCTGATGGATTTAGCATCATGGTTGCCTCGCTTTAATTTATTATTCTTTTATCTTTTTTTTATTTAGTAATTGATTCATGTGCCAATAACCCATGTTTCAATGGTGGTACCTGTGTACAGAGTCCTACTACATGTTATGATTATTCGTGTTCCTGTCCAGAATGCTTCACTGGATCGAATTGTCAGATTCGTAAGTCAGTTTGCTAGCTAACAATCGAGGAGGAGCTTTTCACATCAGTGACAAGCTATCCTCCAAGTGAGAGGATCCATACAGATTAACCATACGTTGCAATGTATTATGGGGAATTTATGCTAATTATTACCATATTTGGAATCTTATTGATTGAATGCAGTAGATTTCAACTTGCTGTTATTTTATATCGTTAAACTGTTTTTCAGCTTTGAATCCATGTCAGAACAACCCGTGTCAGAACAACGGTTTATGCATACCAGATCAGAACAACTGTAATGATTACTCATGTACCTGTTCCGGATGCTGGACGGGAGATTTCTGTCAAACAGGTAAAAAATATTGCGATTTTGAACAATCATTGTTCGGGTTTATTACGTTGCTACTTGTGTTCGAGATACATGTATGTTTTATAATTTCACTGTTTTTTTTGTTTTTCTTTATATATAATAGCAATCAATCCATGCTCCAGTTTTCCATGTCAGAATGGTGGAACATGTCAGTCTGTGGTTGGGTCATGTACTGATTACACATGTTCCTGTCTTGGGTGCCAGACTGGACCTTCCTGTGAAATTGGTGAGTCCTAGTCTTTTTATTTGTTTTTGTGAAAATGCCACAACTGATGAAATGTGTCTCTATAGTACATACATGTATATAATAATTTGGTTCTGAGTGTACTGTGACTGTTAGTAATGAGTAACTGTATTGATTTATATCCACAGCAATGAATCCCTGTAGCCCTAACCCATGTAGTAACAACGGAGTCTGTCAACCTTTGGCTGGCTCGTGTACAGCGTATATGTGTATTTGTGACGAGACTTGTTTTACGGGAACCAATTGTTTGGAACGTGAGTAAATTATTTGTTATGTCATTATGGAGTTTAGTTTTCATCAAAATTCAGTACATGTGAATCATGTACATGTGTTCAACTCAACTCTCACTGTGAAGATGTTAGTCGCCAAACTCACTGTTTTTTAAAGTATTGTTACTATTGACCTTACTGAAAGTCACACATCCAGTACTTCAGGGCTTATAAATTCACTACTATTTTCCAATTATTACCCCCCCCCCATTCTCCAATCACTGCAATTAGTTGTCCATCAGGTTCCAAACACATTGACATGGCAAATACGTGCATATCACATTGGAATTTATTGTTCACAGCATAATAATTAATAGCCTGAGAAAGTACATGGATGACTTACATTCAGGGGTCATGCACAAGTTCTCTTTGCTCTTTGAATTTCGTCTATAGTGTAAATTTATCGACTTGATAGAAATCTTTGTTATTGCTAATCGTGAATGGTTTTCAGCTTGTCAATAATGTAAATGAAGGAAAAACTGTTTTATTTTTGTGGTTATAAATAAAAAAAAATTATATTATTATATTTATTAGGTGTCAATCCATGTGTAAGCAACAACCCGTGTTTGAATGGTGGTAACTGCTCACCCGGTGCACTATGCGGTGAATATTCATGTCAGTGTACCGGATGCTTTACTGGTACCGACTGTAGCACTCGTAAGTGTAACACCCTTCTTTTGACTTTCCCAAATTGTAATACTGAGAATATTTTTTTTTGCGGTGTTTTTTTTTATAAGATTGGTCGAAATTAACTAGTGTATTTTTCTTGTTTTTTCTACTTTCCATATATAACTGTTAGCTATTAATCCATGCGATAGCTTTCCGTGTCAGAATGGTGGTAACTGTCAACAGACGTTCCAGACGTGCGATTCATATCAATGTGTGTGCTCACAGTGTTATACTGGTAACAACTGCGAAACATGTAAGTGTGACTAAACCTCTATCACTTCACAACCGGCAAAAATATACTCTTACTCATGCTCTATTGGCTTGCCTACACTGCAAACCACATATCATATTTCCTCTAAAAGAAATGGTTCAGTCAATTTAATTTTGTTTTTATTTTGCAGTTGTGAACCCATGCGTTAACAACCCTTGTCAGAACAGTGGTTTCTGTCAACAGGTGGCCGGTTCATGTACAGAAGTCAACTGTATTTGTGACAGTTGCTGGTCTGGTGATTACTGCACAGTTCGTAAGTAACGTTTTATTTATACAGAACACCTTTCTACCCAACTCAAGATATTTGACTTTGAACGATTCACACTCTGCATCACATATTAAATTACCATATAACGTGTCTTTTTTGGCTAGCATGTTATTTTAGCTAATATAGCTAATCTGTAATTTCGCTAATTCAAGATGTTGCTAATTTAATATAAAGTATATTCTCACAATGAGATTGTTGTTCTGTTAGTTCATGCATGTAGCTATTCCAATATATTTAAGTGTACAGTGCCCTCAATCTAAAGTATAGAATGCCCTAAAATTCATTCACAAGCATATGTAAGTTTGACGTCTATGTACGACGATATACGTATGCAAATCATGTTCTGTGTGCATGTTAATTGAATACATTTCTAACCAATGGCTTCACAGAACACGGGAACAATTGAAAATGCTTGATTATGTAAAAAGAAATTAGTGAGTAATCACCATATTCAAACGCACATTACTCATAGTAGACGCTTTGCAAATATGCAAGTACACATCTAGCAAAACACTACTTTCACAGGCTCTAGAAATGTACATCTTACGTGTGATTTTGTGATCAACTCATGTGACTCAATTCTTCGCTTCTTGTGTTATCTTCATTGCATATCACACCCTAATTTTGTTACTGTGGAATACTTTATTTTCGCTGGAATTAATTTTCACTGAAAAGGCTTTTTGGGCGTTTTGTATGGAATTTATTTTCACTGATTTCTGATGAGTTAATGTGAAATATAGGAAAAAAGTATATTTTATTTTCACGGAATCATCCCTTCAGCGAAAATAGCGAAAATAAATTCCAAGCGAAAATAAAGTATTATACTTGCTATTATATAATTGTTTTGATTGTTTTGTTTTTTTGTAGCTATCAGTCCATGCTCCAGTAATCCATGCCAGAATGGCGGTGCTTGTAACACGATTGCTAACTCCTGTAACTTCTACACATGTTCCTGTGCGGGATGTTTCACTGGAACTCACTGTACAGAAGGTAATTATTGTCTGTGGCTATATTTTTTTCTCTTTTGCATGGATTATGTTGTATGAACCGAGACTCTCACTGTTTCATTCATTTGTTTCTTTGAACAGTAATCAACCCATGTCAACCTAACAACCCATGTTTCAATGGTGGTACATGTATGCAGAGCCAGTCGTCTTGTAACGAGTATGTGTGTACATGCACTTCGTGTTACACAGGAGCAAACTGCTTAACACGTAAGTATCATGTTCATTAAATATTTAGACTTTTATCTCTAGCGATTTTTGAGATTTGTGGATTTTATGGCATTCGTGAAGAGAATTTTTTTGTGATTTACACTGACATCATGAAATTGGCGAAAGTTTTTTCTCACTAAATTTAAGCAGTTTATCGTATTTTGCACCCTGCTACATGTAGCAAGGTAAAGCTTGTACAGATTTGTTGCACAATTTAATGGCAAGTCAATAATACATGCCTTTGTGCAAGAATGAAAAAAAATCACTGAACTTCTCTAAATTCTCATTACAGCAATCAATCCATGCTCCAGCAATCCCTGCCAGAACTCTGGTTTCTGTCAACAAGTAGCAAATTCCTGTGCAGATTACACCTGCCAGTGTTCAAGCTGCTGGTCAGGACCCACCTGTAGTATTGGTGAGTTCAGTTATTTTATGAAGCTTTATATTAAGGGGACTACAGTGAAGAGCACAAAGCTGGGGCTTTGCTTATAAACATATTTATAAAAACAATGGTAAATACTGATCATCAGTTTTTGCTCAAATTCAGAGCTAAATATTGTCTATAGCAATAATTCGCGTTTATAACGACCCCAGATTTTTGCCTTTCACTGTACTTGTGTTCTCTGTTTGAATTTAACATGATAGTTGAAACCATGTATTATATGTCTGCTTGTTAGCAGCAAAGCTACAAGTGGAACCGAGTTTATTAATTTCACTGCAAAACTTGTGCATTTCTATTTACAGCTGTCAACGCCTGTGATTCCTTCCCATGCTTAAATGGCGGTACCTGTACTATGCCGTTCAACAATATCTGTACTCAGTACCAATGCACATGTTCAAATTGCTACACCGGACTTAGTTGTGAAACTCGTAAGTAGTCATCCATCGTGATTATCTAAATTTTGGCCTAGCATGATGATGTTTGTTTTTTAGTATCAGTGGAAATATTATCCCTTCTGGAAGTGGGGAAAATGTACAAAATATGATGTGAAAGAAAAAAAATTGGTTTACAGAACATACTGTATTTCATCATCAAGTTTGTTTGGACTTGAAATCTGTGTGTCAATGTGATAAAAATGTGATGTATGAGAAACTCCCAATAATATGATACATTTTGTTTCTTCTCTGTAGCAATCAACCCGTGTTTGTCTAACCCTTGCTATAACCAGGGAACTTGTATTCAGAGCAGTACTGATTGCACTCAATATATCTGTCAATGTACTAGCTGTTATACCGGATTAACCTGTCTCAATCGTAAGTCAGCACATACATTGCCCATGTCATTCATCATTAGCCATATATTTTATTAATTTACTTACCGATATTCAATAATACTCACACATCCTCCTGAGGGAATCAAAACAGCTACAACAACTATAGAAAACTGCAAAATGAAGAGTAAGAAATAAAAACTCTAAAAACACACAAACACACACAAAAAGTCAAAATAGAAAGCCACTGATCCATCAACACTTTCAGGGAATCAAGCATAAGTTATTTGTTTGACTTGGATACCTCACATGTCATAGAAAAGTTACTTTATATATTTTTTATTTGTTTGATCTCTTTAGCTGTCAACCCATGTACGAATGGTGTAACACCATGTAAAAATGGTGGATTCTGTTCTCAAGTTCAAGGCTCTTGCACTGAATTTCAATGTTTCTGCTCTGGCTGCTGGGAAGGCGACACCTGCGAGACACGTAAGTAGTATAGTGAAAACGGTAGCCACTCAAATAGCACTACCGGTACATTAAAGGGAACCTCAATCCAAACAACATAATGAGCCCTAAAGAAAAAGCTCCACAAATGTAGGAGAATGCAATTTACACTTTTTTATATCAGTTTTCATTCTCTAGATATTCAACTTTTCATCGTTATTATGTAGTCAGCCATCTTGATTCTCAAGCAAAGGATTATGGGTAAAGTATGACATCCTAGAATCTGTTGTCAGAAATTGAGAAAATTATTTCATCTATAACATGAGAAATACTGATGCAAATTAGTTCAAATGTTCGTTGTGCATATTACTCATGTATATAATTATAGTAATGGAAATTGGAATTTTACAAATACACATAAAGTGAAGATATTGTTAAAAACGTTAAAAAA